AAAAAGCATGCCAATTTTTAGATATCACACTAAAAAATTGCATGAGAACACCAGGATCCAATTGTTGGAGAGTTTCTCCTATAGTTACTTAATTAATGCACCATTGATTTAAATAATGGCAAAAGAAAGACACATTCATTCATTTATTCAGAAAATAATTATTAACCTCTTAGTGTGTATTAGGGTTCTTCAGAAAAACATAACCAATAAGATATATCTAGAGAGCAAAAGAGATTTTACGGAATTGGCTTATGCAATTGTGGGGCTATCAGGACCAAAATCTTCAGAACAGGCCAGCAAGCTGGAAATTCCAGCAGGAGTTGATATTGCATTATTGAGTCCAAAGGCAGCCTGGAGGTAGAATTCTTTCCTCTTTGGAGTACTAATTCTTTTAAGGCCTTCAACTAACAGGATGAGGCCTATCTACATTATGGAGTGTAATCTGCTTTACTCAAAGTCTACTGATGTAAATGTAAATCACATCTAAAAAATACCTTCTTAGCAGCCTCTGGACTGGGGTTTGACTATGTGTCAGGAACTTCATGGAATTGGAGGTTACTCTGGGGAGCTATAGAGTATGGAAGACATCCAAAATACACAAATGTGAATTGCACGTTTCAGGGGCCATAAATGAAAAGTGTGGGTACTTTAAGAAGTTATAGCAGGGAAACCTAACCCAGTCTGAGGGACTTAGGGTGACATTCAGGCTAAGAAAATGCTGTTCAGGCTGGGCCTAAAGGCTAAAATATGGGGTTAAGCAAGAGAAGATGGGAGAAGAGATTTCCAAGCAAAGAAAAGGCCCTAAGTAGAAGGAAGAAAGCTGGGAGAAGGCAATATGGCTGGATACTGTGGCACTTGAGGGAAGGGGAGGAGGCAGATTTTCCAGGGTCTTAGAGATCATATTAAAGATTTGACACTGAGAGACTCATTGTAGGAATCTCTATGGCTCTATGGCAAATGTATCGGAAAAGCTAAGAGTGGCTGCCAGATGACCAGTTAGGAGGCTGGACAGTGGTGCATGGAGAGGTGGAGATGGAAAGAGTAGAATCAGCTCAAAAGATGTTTTGGAGGATATTTAGGGAAACATGATGATTAGTTAGTTATAAGGGTTGATGGAGAAGTAGCCATCACGGGTGATTCCAGGATTTCAAACACTGCTCAACACTTTGGATGATGATGTGATGGTGCAACTTGTTATGAAAAGGAATACTGGGGAGCGAGTCAGGGTTCAGTGTGGGATATGTAGAGTTGGAGGTACTGGTGCTGTAGCCAAATGGAGCGATGTAATAGGCAGTTGAACGTGTAGCTCTGAGACTCTACAAAGACATCTAGATAACAGAGAATTGAAACTATGAAAGTGGATCTGATTGCATAGGGAGAGAAGATCATGAAAAAAAAAGGAAGGCCAAACACTAAGCTCAGAGCAACTCAGTACTTAAGGTCCATTACCGTAGGAGGAGATGGAAAAGGAGAATGACCTGAGAAATAAACAAAACTAGCATCTTCAAAGCCAGCATCTCATTGCATCTCCCCGAGCCTGCCTTCTGTAGCCATCTCTCTAACCACAACTGGAAAAGGTTTTCCATTTCTGAGGATTCGAAATTAGGTTAGACCCACCTAGATAAACCAGGATAATCACCCAAATTCAAGAATTTGCCACCTTAATTCCCATTCGCCATGTAACATAATATATTCACTGGTTCTGGGGATTAGAATGTGGACATCTTTAGGGGGTCATTATTCTGCCTACAACCAAAACAACTATGCAGAATACTGCTGAGAGGTCACAGATGATAAAAACTAAAAATTTTCCAGTTGGATGTAGCACATGGAAATAAACAAGAGCAATTCCAGTAGATTGGAGATCATGAGAATGGGCTGAAAAATTAAATTGGGGGGATTACAAATGGATACTTTTTTCAAGAAATCTGTGAGTAAAAAGCACAGGCCTTGAAACCACTTAAACGTGAGTGGATATTTATTATGACTGTGAGAATCGTTGTCTATATTTAGGATTTGGCTGGTTGGAGCAAGAACTCTGCCTAATTCCAGAGAGCTTCTTGTCCTGTCTTGAATATTTGAGGGAAAACTAATAAAGAAATAATTAACATTAACAAATAAAAATAAAATCTAGAAGATTTTTGTTAACTGAGAAAATGGAGCTAAGATAAATAAGTATATATCCCGAAACTCTTATCATTCATTTCAGTTTTCAATAAAGGGCTATTGTGTGATTTTAGATACATGTGTTCCAGCGCAATTACTCATCTAACAAATGCGTCTCTAAAAAGCATTTGCCAATAGCTTGATGTTGGCAAAAATAATGTTTCACATCTGCTGCCTCTGAAGCCAAAAGATTTCAAAATAATATCTGTGCTGATGAAAGTTGTGCTTAGATCAAGAATTGGCGTTAATATGAAAGAAAAAACAAATGGAATCAAAAAGGAAAAAATACTCTAATATTTATAAATTAATGAAAACATAATCATAATAGTTAACCATCATTGAGTGATTAACTTAATCCCAGCAGTATTCCGAGAGTTGTACATTAGCTCATTTAATCATCAAAGCACCCCTACAACATAGGTACAATTTCTGTCCCCACTTCACAAATGTGGAAACTGAGACAGTACACACCAGGGCTAGCATCTTAATCTAGGCAGACTCCCAATTCCACAGTATCAATAACAATAGGGGACAACTAGCACTTATTGTCTAAGCATCCATTCTCAGTACTTTACAGATGTAAATCATTACTCTTTCACCATACCCCTAAGGGGTAGGCATTTTCCTACCACCTCACAGATGAGGAAACTAAGGCACAATGGGCAAGGTCATACATGTAACAAGCGGCTGAGTGAAAATTCACACCCAGCAGACTAGTTCCAGAGTCTAATTTCCTATCCAAATAGCTGTAGGATGATGTTTTTTTGAAAAGTTTTCATGTAAACGGAGAGTTTTCTCACGCATTGCTGCTATTGTCTTTTTGAAGTATTGGAAATGAAAACAAAAAATTAATTTTGATGGTCTAGTAATCTTTTCCCTCTCTGAACTTTACCATATCTTTCTCAAGTATAAATGAAGAATTAGGTGCAAGTTTCTTTCAGCTGCACAATTTTGTGAATAAAATGTTTTCAGTATCACATGCCAAAATTCCTTTTATTCTTTTAACAATTATTTATTGTTGTGTTTTTACATGTCAGGATATGCTACATTTTATTGTTTCAGTGAATAATAGTTATTTATAATAAGCATTTATTGAGCACTTGCAGCATGCTAGGTACTATGCTGAGTGTATTATTTAGTTTATTTTTCTTAATCCTCACACAAGCTTTGCTTTATTTGATTACTTTCCTCTATATTACAGGTGAGGAAACGGAGCTTAGAAAAGTTTAGAAATTTAATCACATCACACAACCAGTAAATGGCAGAATTTGGGATCGAACCCAGAAAGCTTTATGCTGAAACCCAGAATCCCAGTCTCCTGACCACTTTGTTCTAATGTGTGGGTACCACATCAGAAACAGAATCAGATTAGACCTAAGTGAAAATGGATCACTTGGCTTGCATATAAAAGTGGGAAATGAGGAGAAACCAGTGATGTGTCTGCCTAAAGACATATCTTTCTGACACAGCCAAGTGGTAATTTTCACAATTTGAGCCTTTCCCTTGGGTTTTGTATGTGGAGTCCAAAGGAGCAGCTGAAAATGTGACTGGAGGGAACAGTTATTCAAACACTTTTTCCTTGAGATGTGTAGACAGATTTCTTTCTTGCAGCTAACAGAATTCTGAAGAAATAAACACAGGGTGTCTGAGGTGTGGGTGAGGCTTTTAGAGTTTTGTTTATGACTGAGACAGAACTGGGCAAGGTATCACCAGGCATGGAGTGTGAGTGTGTGTGTGTTGTGCAAAACTGAATACGTATGTGTATGTATAGTGTCCTCAACAGCTAAGAGATTGCAGAGAGTGATGTGTCAGACTCTAGAGAAAGCATATGATAGCGGCCAGTTGAATAGAAGAAGGTATTAAAGAACAGAAATGCAACCTAACAAGTCTGCCTCAATTTGGCCATAAGCTGAGGGAACTGAGACTGTCCTAAAGCTGGTCCCCATTTAGGAAATGCCTGGGAGCACTGAGATAAGGGAAATGGCTTATAATAAAATAAGGGGTTTAGAAGGCTTATGAAGTCATCTAGCCTAAGCTTTGGCCTCTACACCATCCATGTGAATAGCCTCAGATAACAGCTATTTGCAGCCCATTTTTCAGGTCAACTCAGAATGAGATTCCACAATCACCATCCCAGTGATTACTTGTACCTGCTACCAAGAAAGCTATTACATACCTAAACCCTTCTACATCAACTCAATCTCCTGCTTGTTCTCCAGGAAGATGAAAAAAGTTATTATCACCACCCACCTATAAAAACCCTAATATACCTGGAGCTGTTATTAAATCACCCCATAATCTCTCTTTCCAATTTGATACCTTCATTTCTTTTAATCTCACCTTATTTGTCTGGTTTTCTTTCTAAACTGCACATCTGCCAACACAACAGAAGGCCAAGGGTCATTTATGGGACTCCTAGTGTTTGCACCATATGGCAAATGACTGCCATCATTTAATATAGCTTAGAAGTAGAGAAGTCAAATTTGTGTCCACAGTAGGATAAGGATTTTGTGACTAACAAGCAATCCTCAGACAAGTTAATATTCCTTGCAAATATATAGGAAAATTCCTTCTTTTACTTATGAGGTCTTTGGTCTTAAAAGACACAAGAATAGCAGTCCTAATGTTCTTATAAAGACCAATTTTGGGGATGAATCAGGTATCATTTGAGAATGTTTAATATATTTTAATATTATTAATACCATTTATAAAGCATGAATCTTAAATTTGTGTCCATATACAACAATTATTAAGGAATAGTGGTTACCTTATTCATTTGAATCAATATTTACACTGATTGAAATTGTTTAACCCTTTCCTGTGTTGTTTCACAGAAATGTAACCTGGAATAGTTTAGCTATCCCAGATACACACTGCTCACCAGAGCTGGAAGAAGGCTACCAGTGCCCACCGGGATTTAAATGCATGGACCTCGAAGATCTGGGACTTAGCAGGCAAGAGCTGGGATACAGTGGCTTTAATGAGATAGGTCTGTCTTACTGATAAAACACATTTTCAGTTTCTATTTTACAATATTTTTGAAGTGGAGATGATATTTGTATGACTGATATTTTATGTGAAGATTGGCTATAGTGTTTAAGAAACACAACTGCAAATTTTAATTATATGCCTATGTCGTAATATATTCTACTGTACAGTCTATCATATACAGCCTGTGTTTATGTATATTCAGCAATGCCTGTAGAGACTTAAATATCTGTCATTTAAGATTATCTTGAGCATTTAAAAGGATTTATTTGGTGAGCAAGGTTCAGGGGCGGTTGCCTCAAAGATAAACAAGACACGGTTTCCTTCCGCATTTAGGTATACTTGAGGAGTCAAGGTAAGTTTTAAATAACTGGAGTACTAGGCATTGATAAGTGCATAAGAACTGAACTAATCCTGGAACAGAAGACAGCTAATCAAGTACTTAATGAATATGTATCAACTAATAGGCATTAGTATGTGAATATAATGTGCTCATATGTATAGATGTATTGTGACTTGTCCTAGTAAATCGTGAAATGTCCCATTTAAACATATAATGAAAGAATGTAGTATCTGCTATTTAGTTGATATTGCATTTATTACAGTGCTGTGCATGTTGAACATATTTTATTAGTGAAGCAGAAAAGCATAGAATGCAAAACATTTTTCTATGCTTTGAGAATGTCTTACCACAGGCTGCCATAACACAATACCATAGATTGAGTGGTGAAAATACCATAAATTTTTTCTCACTAGTCTGGAGGCTGGAAGTCCAAGATCAGGGTGCTGGCATGGTTGAGCTCTGCTGAGGCCCCTTCCCCTATCTTGCAGATAACTGTCTTCTTGCTGTGTTCTTGCGTAGATAGGGTGGGAGTGTGTGTGTGTGCATGTGTGCGCGCGCGCGTGTGTGTGTGTGTGTGTGTGTGTGTGTGTGTGTGTTTGTGTGTGTGTGTGAGAGAGAGAGAGAGAGAGATATTGAGGGAATGTGCTCTGATATTTCCATATAAGGGCACTAATCCCATCATGAGAACCTCACCCTCATGACACCTAAACAAAATCACCTCCCCAAGGCTCCACCTGCTAATACCATTACACTGGGAAATAGGGCTTCAACATATGACGGGGGGGGGGGGGGGGGTACATGCAGTCCATAACAGAATTGTTACTAAAATCATTTGAAAATAAAAACAATTAACTTTTGCTTAAAATGTCAAGGCCCAGGTGAATTTAAGAGAGTTTTAGACACTTGTACCTGGCCCTAAAAGAAAAATCAGTGTATAACAGGACTGAGCTTATGCTCTTTAGGAAGTCAGATCAACTTCCTGACTTTTGATGGGGTTTCACATCTCAGTGGGCCAGCAGTGCAATGGGGGATTTCATAGCCAGGTAAGAAAGCATCTGCCCCTGTCAGTCCTGAATGGCAACTGCTACAAACCCAGCCAATCGCCTTCACACACCAGACAAAGTGGCTGAAAAATCTATTCCCATCAGGATTCCCTTCATCCATAGCAGCTTCTGGATGGTATTACGCAGGATGACATGATGAACCCTGAGCTAAGTATTAGAATTTCAGAAAGAACATGCGAAGGTCTTGCATTGATTGAACAGTATTTTCCTGATATATGAACTAAAATGACAGGGCGGAAGACTTTGGACAGAAAATAATACTGAAATTGGGCTAAAAACCACAAATAGTTGGTATTTATTAAGAAGTGAATTCTGCAAATAATATCCCTAAATTTTTACTCTCCTATTTTAATATACTTTCAGAGTAGATTTTTAGCATTGTAGTTAGATGAGTATTCTTTCATCTCTTTTGGCCAATGATACAAAAAATTAGAAGCCAGAAATATAAAGCATTTCAATTTGCTGTATTTTCTGAAACTTATCTGGCTTTGGAACCAATCTTACATATCCTTCCCCTATCTCAAAAGTACAGAGGCGTGTTTTGGGTTATATCAATGCCTTTCAGGGTTGAGCAAGAAATCACAGGTGTGGTACGGGACACAAAATACATAGATTTGGTAAACTGCATGTAATAAGCTCCAGGAGTCCTGACAGCTGAGGCCCAACTAGAATGCATGGCTTCTCAGAGCCTGCAGCTCGCTCTTTTAGGGCCACACCGGGTAGATCCACGTCTTGATGAAGAGTGGCCAGTGCTTGGGTGTTAAGCTGCCCTTGCACAATGTAAAATCAAAGCATACCCTGACCAGTTTAAATGCAGCCTAAACTCAAAATGCTGCATTGTATTTAAGTTGATTCATCGTTCTTCACGGTGACTTATGGCTTCAACTAACATGGTATAACCTCTCTTTGAAAGAGAAAGTCTTACACAGTGCATTGGCTTGAGAATCCCAGTTCTAAGAGGGAATCGCCCTGGGGGAAGTAGGCCTCCACTAAGGCAATAGTCCTACTGTAGTTCTACTGTTTATTTGTACATCTCTTTCAAGGATTTAAGCGCTTTGAAAACAGGAAACACGCCTTTTCATCTTTATGTCTCCAGGGTCTAGCTCAATGTCTGGCTCATAGGGAGTCCTCTATAAATATTTACTAATGGACTGAACAAAGTATATGTCATTTTGAATTTGTTGGTAACAAGTCATGTTTGGGTAAGGATATACAGCCATACTAGAGAATTGAGTTTTCTTGTTCTTTTCTCTGATTTTGTCTGTTTTTGTTAGCAGTATTCACTATTCCTCATAACTTCCCTTTCTATACAAGCTTAATTTGATTTGTTTGCTTCTTTTTCTCAAATGATGAAAGAATTCAATATCATCGTATGACTAATGGTTAGATAATGAAGTGTTAACTTTGTTGACTTTGTACTATCATCAAAAAAATTTAAAATAGTCACTATAGTTTATATTGAAATTGATAACTACTTCCTGATATTGTGTATCTCTGTAGATACACAAACTGTAGTATATTAGATTATTTTTAAAGTTCTTATGGAAACAAAAGATAGTGTTTCCCCCAAAATGAGGAAAAGAAATTATTTTGTTAGACACATGTGATCATCTCTTGCTGTAAAAGGTTGAATTTAAACCATAATTAGGTGCCTAATTGTGCATATAAATTTGGCCCATGTATCCTATATGTAAGTAATCATGATTAATTAAAAAGGAGCACATTTCATTTTCTTACTAATCAAATTATCATGCAACACAGTGAATTTCAACTCATTTATAAAATTTTATTTATAAGTAGCTTTATTTTTAATTAAAATTTAGTATCGATGATGATGTTGTTGAAAAGCTCAATTTTTACAATCTATTAATTAAAAGCCAGTGTCATTAAGTAGAAAATATTATAAAGAGCCCCTACTGTAAGATTGCAGAGTAAAGATACCTTTGCATCTTTAAAATCGTCCAACACGGTGGAGGCTGAGAAACAGAAATGCAATTTCCATATTTAAGGACCCTATCAAGCCTGTTACTGTGAACCACATCAGAGAGCCAGGTGTCTAACAGAAAACTTCCTGAAAAGATTCTGGCTACTGGAGACCGGGGACAGAGCCAGTGGAATCCTGACAGTCTAAAATAGCACATGTGCCCAGAGGAGCAAAGCAGGCCTCTATCTAAGTCAGGGAATTAGTATGGAGCTGACTATGGGAGCTTTCTGAGACTCCATGTGGCATCACAAAGGAGAGGCTCTTATCTCTGCAAGCAGTTGGCGGAGAGATAGAGAAGAGGACAGATAAGTGAGGCACCCAGTGCTGCCGATCTGTATTGACTAGGACAAGGGAAAGACTCAACTTAGGGTTTGCAAAACTGGCTGTACCTTAGGATGACCTGAGGAGCCTTTAAAACTCACCAATTCCTAACCACAATCCCCAGGCCAATGAAATCAAAATTCTAGAGTGACCCAAGGCATAGATGGCTTTAAAAAGTTCTCCAGGTGATTCTAATGTGCAGGCAGAGTTGTAAACCACTGGATTGAAGCAACACTGATATACACACATACCCATTTATCATATAAAAAGTTTCATTTCTACCCCATAACATTACCTCACCCTTCCTCTACATGAAACAGTGACAAATATCTGGCCCTCTAAAAATTGATATCAAAGGTGAGTAATACTAAAAAAGAATCGGGACCATATCTATAAAAATATACCTTTAGGTACATTTAAAATTGAAAAAATATTCAAGATATATAACTCAAACAAAATTGCAGAAAAAAGAACTGAATATGTGTACTAAAAGGGTACAACTTGTCTCAGTAAATCAACATACAACAATCAACGCTGAGATGTATCTGAAATTTCACAACACTATTAATTCCAAGATATAATGACACAATGCTTACAAAGTCCCTAGGGAAAGAATGTGTCAAACTCTTTTTGATTATTTTTGAAGAGGCAAGAACTCAGAGGTTTTATTTCACATGAAATCTTCTTGAAGTCATTCAGCCAATCGTAAATGAGTGGCCATGAGCTTAGTTTCTAGTATCTATTTACTGTAAGAACGCAGTGGATACAACTAAAGGATTTCCTGAATGTAATGTAAATATTACAAATTATTGCATAGAAGACAAGATAAACAGAGGCGGTAGTGTAATGATGTTGATGTCCTTAACATTTATACCTAACAGTAAAAACAAGTATCATTTTATACATGATATCAGTCATATAACGGAGGTATATGTATACTTGACATGAGGATGCATTACAAAGTCAAAAATTACTTTAGAAAAAATTCAGAACTGAAAATAATGGCTCTGGGGTTTGGATTATGGCTGTATTATATACTAGTGTGGTAGCCTTGGGAAAGTAATTATCCTCTCTTGCCTCAATTTCCTCATCTGTGAAGTGGGAAAGTGATAGACCTAACGTACAGGATTGATGTGAGAAGTAACTGGGGGTAAACCACACTTAAAGCAAACACAGAATGAGCTAGACATTAGAGATACAGTGGCAAACTATGAAAACATCGCTGTATTATTTGAGGAAAATGACAACTTTTATAATGAAAGGCAGGACATAGATACTTTCTGATTAAC